CCCCCCCCCCCCCCCCCCCTCCCGTTATTTGACTGTGTTATCTCCCTTGACATCCTCAATTCTAATTGAGGAGGTGAATGGACCTGCATTATTTGTGATGATGTTACATGTCCTTAGACCACTTGGGCCCGGCGAAGAAGAGACTGCGGGAACTGGACTAGCAATCAGGTTGAATTGAGGATCAGGTGAGTATATCTTTTTTAATCCAGCCCCTTGGCCAAAACAAGCAGTTAACCATTGCAGTGTATGGGGAAGTAGTATTAACCTTTTTCCAATAATGATCAAACAAATATACATTACCCAACAAAGTATTTCTTTACATTTTTCCCAAGCACTTACAATCATTATGCTTCCAAACCACTGGCTCCAGTTTTCTCAGAGCCTCCTCCCTGAACTTCTTGTCCAGTACAAGGTTTCAAGGGACAGCTTAGTATCCAGCAGCTGTCCTTCTACTAGTTTAGAGAGGGAAATGGAGGAGGGAGGAAGGTGAATGGAGGGTTGGGGGCAGAGAGAGGCTTGCTTTGCTGTGCCTTTGTGGAGACACAGACAGCTTACTAGAGCACATAAGAGTGGCTCCATAGGATCATGCAAGGGAAAGTAGCCACCCTAAAACAGGATATGAAGGCCATTGCTCAGGGGGGCAGCTGATTCTGCAAGGAACTACAGCTTTAAACATCTAGGAGCCACATCCATTGTAAATGATTGAATTAGCATTTGAAATAACTAAAACAGTTTTGACTTTAATATCACTTTAATTCCTAAAGTTCTTTTAAAATGTATATAAAGAATTTTTGTTTTGAAATATGAAAGTTTTAGAACCCCTGTCAGATTTAAATTGTTGTCTGTGGTTCTGCTTGTGATAGTCACCCTCTATATCTGTCCTGGTGACCATTACAACCAACATTGAAAGTGATGGGACATCCACAATTATACCTCTGGAGAAATAGAGGGGACAACTGTTTGGTGACAAATGACTAAGACAGGACTTCCCCTCACTTTGAAAAGCTTTGTTAGGACATTTAAACATTACCTTCTATACTGAAAAAAAAAATGGTTGATTTCACATATACTTTAAAGTATAATTGTATCAAAGACAAAACATCTAAACCAATAGCAGTAGTATCTGTAAAAATAAATCAAAGCATCTGTTCACAAAAATTGCAGAAATCAGTCTCATGAGGAACCTGACTGCAACTATGGATCATAAAGAAAATCAATTCCACCTTATTTGGTTCTACTGGATGTCCTTCACTGACTCTCCAGAATATAGGCCTCTGATGTTGGTTTCTGATAATGGATGGACATAAGATTTAACTGAAGCCCAGCATTGGCGATTGTTGGCAGCCCTCCTTGGCTTCAGCATCCCCCTTCCTAACATTTTTCCCTCTCCTTTCCTCCAGGCTTTCCTTTCTTTCTTTTTATGAAGAAAATTCACAAATTAGATGATAGTTGTGCTAGTGGTTGTTCTACAATCTATTATCATATAATACTAAAACTGTTGTTATACCATTTTTATATAGGGGTCTATTCACATAGCTTCGGCTGATCCTTCGGCTAGCTTTCGGCCCCATGACCCCTTTGGTTCAGTAGAACCGAAGGGCCGCTGTACGGGCTATTCACTATAGCCCGTACAGTTCCCAAAGCTGTCCGAGCGGCAAAGTCGAGCCATAGGCATATGCCTCGGCCCGACTGAGCCCAGGTGAAAGCCGAAGCTGGCCGAACACCAGGTCATTGGTTGACCGACAGCCTGCTTCTGACAGCTGGGCGGAGCCAGCCGTCCTCTCACGGCTGGCTCCGGCCACTTGCAGAGACATTAGCGTCCCTGGTTACCGGGTAACCAGGGACGCATCTGTCATTACACACTGAGAACCCGACGGGGCCGCTATGATATCACAACTGCCTCTCCGGGTTCTCAGTGTGTAATGACAGATGGCGCCACACAGACACCCACACAAATTTTAAATAAACATAACATGGCTTGCTGCACAATGAGGAGTTTTGTTTAATCCGTATGATTGCGTGGGCATCGGTGTTGAAAGTACGAGTGGAGACGCTGATTCATCTGGCACATTAGTGGTTTTTGGCTGTTAATTCACATCCAAATGTATGCGGTGAGTGTGTGTGGTACAAGGAGATCAAATAATTAATTTACAGAGCACCTTTGGACTATATATATATTTTTTCACTTATGGAATATCTATTACTTATGGACAATTAACTTATCACTATGGTGTGAAATGAACTTTTTAAAATTGGTTTTGCACATGATTTATAAATGGACTGGTGATTTTTAATAATTTCACTGTGTGAAGTAAGATATTTACTTTATCATGTTATAAACTATTTATATGCATTTTTACACATTATTGCACAATTTTTCACGTTATTGAACTCATCACTGTATTTTGAGTATTTTTGATTTATTGATTATCAACAATTTAATTAATTTATTTATTTTAAGGGAGTAGAGGTTTCTTAGCGCTGCATATATAATATTGTTTAATTCTTGGACCTAGTTGTCCGGTGTCTAGCAGCTTTGTTACCTTAGTGGGGACCTACCCATCCACAAGTGCAGATTCAAATGAATATTACATTAGTTACTTATATCTGGAGCACGGTTCCAAAATTCATCAATAATTCATCAAAATTATTCTATAAAAACTCTTACTTTGCCCTTTTTCCAGTAGAACTCTACTCGAAAATCTTCTGGACTTCTTGTTTCTAATAAAGTCTCAATAGGTAAATAAGATTTTGTCTTGACATTAACCATTTCCGGTGAAACATTATCATAGATCATGTTTGTTAACAAAATCTCAGGTGGTACTTCTCCTCTCTCATTCAAGGCAATCCTCTCTCCAGTTATGCTGGTGTAATGCACTGCCTGAATGTATCTGTGGAGCTTTAAAAGGAAAAACAAATGTAATATAACATATTTTTTTCAAATCCAGCAGCACACATATTGCATAGTCACTAAGGGGTCTATTCACTAAGCTGCCGCAGGCAGCCGAGTGAATAACCGACCTAAAGCGAAGTGAGCCGAATGCTGTTCGGCTATTCACTTCAGGCTGGTACCGCTGATTTCAGCAGTATATCGGCTGAAATCAGCCATACATCGGGTGGCTTTGCTCAGCATGTTTGGCCGACCCGAAGTGCAGAAGGAGTTTGACTTAGCCGATCCAACATCTGGATCAGCTAAGTCGAACCTCCGACAGGGTACTTGCTGCTGTTCGGTCTATTCTTATAGATGCCGAACAGCAGTGAGTGAATAGCCTCGGCTGTTCTACTCGGTCCCTCTGTGGTACCGAGCAGAACAGAAAAATAGTTAAAAAGTAGAAAAATAAAGATAGAAAACTATTGTGCGGAGCTAGCAATGACAGCTAGCTCCGCCCAACAGTTTTCTATTGGCCATCGGTTCTGCTGCCGTCAAAAAAAAAGAAAGAAAATGCCCATAGGAATGCATTGCTAGATTCCTATTGGCTATTTCAATTTGCAATAGCCAATAGCAAACTAGCTATTGTACCCGCCCTCTACTGCTGTCAATCACCAGAAGGGGACCTGATGGAGAACTGCAGGTCCCCAGGGCTGGTACAATGCTAGTTTGCTATTGGCTATTGCAAATTGAAATAGCCAATAGGAATCTAGCAATGCATTCCTATGGTGAATTTTTTTTTTCTATTCTGACATGGAGCCGTGTCAGAATAGAAAAAGCAGTCTTTCTCTCCTGGGCGGCCGGAGCGGGAGACTCC